GGAAATAATACAGCCATCCAGGAGCTCTTCAAGCGCATCTCAGAGCAGTTCACGGCCATGTTCCGGCGCAAGGCCTTCCACCACTGGTACACACGTGAGGGCATGGACGAGATGGAATTCACTGAAGCTGAGAGCAACATGAATGACCTTGTCTCCGAGTACCAGCAGTACCAGGATGCCACCGGAGAAGAAGAGGAGGATTTCGGTGAGGAGGCTGAAGAGGAGGCCTAAAACAGCGCACCATCACCTCAGGCTTCTCCATTCCCTCAGCCTTCTTCCTCAGTTGGCCCTGTCCTCTCCCTCAGAATTACATTTTCTGCCTCTGTCTCTTTTTTTTTTTCCTTTTTTGGAGGGGAATGGTCCTAGAACACAGTGCCTGGCACATAATAGGTGCTCAATAAATACTTGTTGTTTGTTGAATGTCTCCTCTCTTCCACTCTGGGAAACCTAGATTTCTGCCATTCTCAGTAACCCTGTATTTCCTTTCGGTGTCCCCTTCTCCCATCTGTCCAGTTGGTATTTCCCTTTGTTTTATAAGATAATTCTCCAAGAAGCTGGGTCTCATCAGATCCCATCTAAAACCAAGTGCTTAAAACCCAGTAGATGGCCACCATCCTAAGCCCATGTGGTAGCCCCGGGGAAAGGAAACAAAGCTACCTCATAGCAGTAGAGGTACCTATAAGGAAGGGGTAGGGTTTTCTATTCTAGAGCAGTTTTGGAGAGGGATGTCCAGGCTCTTGAGTCCTAATTTCCAGGAATTTCCCCGCTCCTCTCAGCTTCAGGAGAGGTGTTGACAGTATTATCTCTTTTTCCGTCTTCCAAGCTGTGTCCTGAACTGTTTCTTTTGCAGGGGTCTGCCCCACCCTGTTAAAGCAGGATCCTTCCCTTTTCCTACATAACCACCTTCATATGTTGGATTCCTTCCTTTTCCCCTGGTTGGAGAAGGGGGCCAAGAAGGGGAAGAGGGACTAGCCTCCAGAAAGACCCTCCCCATCCCCACCCTTTCTTAGCAAACACCCAGCTCTGCTGTATATATACAGAAAGGTTTATACTGCGACCTAAATCTTTTGAATCATTCTTCCAGAGAGGGGACAAGGAGACCTTCCCATCTTTGGCAACATCTCATTTTTTCCTTTTGCTATTCCCTCCCCTGCCCTTGGCTTCATCCTGTCCTACACTTCAAATTTCTATTTTGTGTTGAACTTGCTTTTTTTCATATTGAAAATATAACATTGCCCCAAGAGCCAAAAATAAATGACAACTGAAAAAAAAAAAACAAAACAAAACACATGCTGTGTGTTCTGTTTCCAGGGGACTATGCGTATAATAAAAACTTCTTACTGCATTGTAATAGCTTTCTGTCTTTGTGTCTTAGCACATTTGATTTAAGTCACAGGGCCTGCCAACCAGCTAACAGCAGAAAAGGACTGTAGGTTCTGCCCCGTTTCCATCATATGTTGATATAAGTTAAACTGGACAGCTCCCATACCATACTGTAATGAAATAAGATGTTTGGTAAGTAGATGCTCAAAGAGCACAAATGGTCATTGACTTAATGTGGCTGGGGAAGTGGCCTGTAGTATAGACATGGATGCCCTATGGGGTGGCTGGCTAGGAAAGGTCTGGAAGGAGGAGAGTGGAAGGATAAAGGAGGAAAGATCAGAGGCAAGAAATTACCCAGTCTAAACCAAAAAGAGAAAGTAAGCTAAAAACAAAACAAAACAAAACCCCCAAATTGAAACAACAACAACAAAACCCCACAGTATCTGGGATACATGGGACAAAACAAAAGATCTAACATTTGTGCCACTGGAATCCTAGAAAGAGTGGGGAGAAAGGATGGAGACGAAAAATAGTTTGAACAAGTGATTGCTGAAAAATTTTCACATTTATCAGACAACCAACAACATAAACCTGAAGAAATACATGTCAAGACACAGCGTATTAAAATTTCTGGGCACTAAAGAAAAAGGAAAAAAAAACATCAAAAGATGAAAGAGAAAAATCATACTTACCCAGAGAGGAAAACATCTTGAACAACAGAGGATTTCTATTCAGAAACCATGGGGGCCAAAAGGAAATGATGTCAACACTTTTTTTTCTAGATATAATTGACATATCACATTGTGTAAGGTTAAGTTTTACACAATGTGAATATTTGATCTACATATATATTGTGAAATGCTTACCAACATAAGGATAGTTAATGCAACCTTCACTGCACATAATTATCCTTTTTTTTTTACTTATTTACTTTTTTGTGCTGAGAACATTGAAGGTCTAATCTCTTAGTAACCTTCAAGTACAATATAATACTGTTAATTACAGTCTCCATGCTGTACATGAGACCATCAGAAATTATTTTATATACAGAAGTTTGTACCCTGTGATCAATATTTCCCCTATTTATCTCACCACACAGTCCCTGGCAACCACCAGTTTACTCTCTGTTTCCATGTATTTGGCTTTTTCAGATTCCACATGGAAGTGATATTATACATAATATCTTTCTCTGTCTTCCTTATTTCACTTAGCATATTACTTTCACGTTTCATCCATATTGTCCCAAATGGCAAGATTACCTTCCCTTTCATGGCTGAGTAGTATTTCATTGTGTACATACACATGTATAACACATCTTCTTTATCTATTTATCCATCAGTGAACATTAGGTTGTTTCCATATCATGGCTGTTTTAAATAATGCTGCAATGACGCAGTGGTGCATATATATTTTCAAATACCCAGAAGTGGAATAGCTGGATTATAGGGTAGTTCTATTGGTAAGTTTTTGGGGAAACTCCATATTGTTATCCATAGTGGCTGTACCAATTTATATCCCCAACAACAACAACTGAGGGCGTTTCTTCTTATCCTATCCATGTCCCCTTTCTCCATATCCTCTATAATCTTTGGTATTTCTTGGGTTTTTATTTATTTATTTATTTATTTGGGATAATTAGACACTGAGTTTTATCAAATACTTTTTCTGCATCTGTTGAGACAATCTTATGATTTTTACCCTTAATTTTGTTAATGTGACATATTATGTTGATTGATTTAAGGATACTGAACCATCCTTGCATTTCTGGAATAAACCTTACTTGATCATGGTATCTGGTCCTTTTAATGTATTGTTGAATTTGGTTTGCTAATATTTTGTGGAGGATTTTTGCATCTATGTTCATTAGGGATATCGGCCTTCAGGTACAGCCCTTCTGATCTGGACGCCAAGAGCTACACCCTTGTCTCCCATTCCCTCCTGCTCCAGGCAGGGCTGGCCCCCCAGAATGGGATCTGGGAGGGGAGGCAGATGCACATAGCTTGGGTTCCCTGAAAATACAGAAACATGATAATGTGGACATGCAGCTTGCTCCAAAGTGCACGTAGTGAACAAATGTTTCATTTCAAACCCTGTTATTTGCCCTATAAATATGGCCCTTGTGGGGATGGTCCATTAAAAGTGTCCCCTGAGGGGAGGACACTCCACCCTGGCCTCTCAGTTGGGACTCCAGCCTGGCTGTCCCTACAGGGCTTCCCCAGCTGCTGAGGGGTGTTGTAAGTACCTGCTACAAGGTAAAGTGGCCTTATGCTCATTTCTTGCCTACTATTCCCTTCCTGTATGTGCATATTCCTTTCCTCTTCTGTTTCTATTAGTTTTCCTATAAAAATAATAAAGTTTTCTTTCCTTTTTGAAATCAAAACAGGGCTGTGGTGAATCTTTTGTGCAGCACGGGAGATGAGGGCTACTGATGTAGATGTTCATCACACTTAATAATACCTCGGCAGCAACATCTCAACTGGCATTGACCACTCCACTGGGCATCCTAGCCTACTTCCCTTGACACATAAAATTAACCATCAAAGGGGGAAATTGAGGGGCAGAGTGATGGTACAATCGACCCTTTGTGAGGGTGAGGTGTGGATCCCCAGGCAGGGTCTATTGATACAGGCTCCGTCTGGGTTTAGGAAATGGCTCATGTCATGAAGCAGTGCAGCGGCCAGGGGCACCCAAGGATACCCAGGGTGACCCCTGACAGACGAAGCCGTAGGCATCTGTCCCACTCACAGGAAAGATGGCAGAAGTGTTGTAGCTGTACTTGCAGTGCGCCTCCACAGCCTCTACCCTCCACACCAGGCCTGCATGCTCAGGGTCTTAAGGGAACCCCACCCCTGCCCCCTTCCCTCTGTTTAAGAAGGAACAGCAGGACAAGAACAGGTGCAGGGAAGTTTATATGGTACCCAAGCAACCCTGCGCTGACTTCTCAAACCCCTGGTGGGTAATGAATTTTCTTGAAGGCACCTAGATATCATTTCTTGCTTAAATCAACACAAAACAGAAATATTGAACTGAAAAGATGGAATAACTGAAAATCAGGATTCAGACTTCCCCTAGGTCCAAGGAGGGTCCCATGTGTTTCCCTGAGTGAGGAAATTCTGGGCCTGTCTTCCATCTCTTCCATCTCTCTGGCCCTTGCACAGCTCTGGGACCCAAGCTCAAGTTTTTACCTCACCCTTACCCACCGGCAGGAGAAAATGGCTTCAGAATTCGATGTTCCCCATTCTCCACTTTCTTTTTGTGCCTTCCAATTCTTTTGCCCCTCCCTGCCTCCCATTATTTGTTTCCCAGCATATATTGGGATTTTACCACTGTTACTGGTATGAAGAGCCACGCTCATCATTTCTGGAAACTGAACCCACTTAAAGTTATTTTTAAATTGAAAATGGAAGCTCTTCATTCGATCTTGTAGCAGTTTGTCATTTTAGAACTAAGTTGTTCTCAGAGCATCTGAGTTGACTTTTGGGTGTTCCTGTCATACAACTCTATTTTGGAGTTATTTTTGGCTCCTTACATTTCCACTGGATACTTTCACAACCCACTGCTTATGAGATTTGCTTCTGTTCTCCCTGACTGCTTTGCATAAGCTCCTCCAGGCTTAGACCAGCGGCTCAGGCTGTATTAAAGGGGCCTTTGCTACGTGAGCTGAGCTGCGTCGGGCAGGCAGGGGCAGCAAGATGGGATCACAGAGGCGGGTCCTCCTATCCTTGTTGCTGTGGGTCTCAGGTGAGAAGTTGAAAAGTGCCATATTCCCTCTGGAGTAGTGTCATTTTAAACAACTTTTTAAGATACATAATGAGAAACATTGGTTATTTCCAAAATAGACCCAATGATGTACTGCCATGTGGTACCATTAGGAAGCACGTTTGCAATGACATATTTCAGCATGACTGGGATAAAGTGTGTCTGTATCACCATTTTTCTGATTGCAGGTGCCCATGGGGACATCACGATGACTCAGTCTCCAGGCTCCCTGGCTGTGTCTCCAGGTCAACAGGTCACCATGAACTGCAGAGCCAGTCAGAGTGTTTACAGCAATGTAGCCTGGTACCAGCAGAAATGTGGGCAGGCTCCCAGGCTCCTCATCTATGGTGCATCCAGGAGGGCCACGGGCATCCCAGACCGGTTCAGTGGCAGTGGGTCTGGTACAGACTTCACCCTCACCATCAGCAACCTCCAGGCCGAAGATGTGGGAAACTACTACTGCCAGCAGGATAATAACTATCCGCCCACAGTGCTTCAGCCTCGAACAGAAACCTGCTCCTCGGGGCCACGGGTCATGGAGGATTTCCTGCACCAGCTGCTTCCTCTTCGCTCAGCCCTGAACATGTGCATTCCCCTATCTGCCTGAGAAGTCACATCTCCTGACTTACTTCTTGAAGGTCTTGTAAGGCCCAGCAGAAAATGAAGAGACCGGACTTTCTCTGCATCCCCCATCCCTTTTTTTTTTTTTTTTTTTTAATTTGACAGAGAGATCACAAGTAGGCAGAGAGGCAGGCAGAGAGAGAGAGAGGGAAGCAGGCTCCCTGCCAAGCAGAGAGCCCAATGTGGGGCTCGATCCCAGGATCCTGGGATCATGACCCAAGCCGAAGGCAGAGGCTTTAACCCACTGAGCCACCCAGGTGCCCCGCCCCATCCCTTTTTTAAAAAAGACTTTATTTATTCATTTGCCAGAGAGAGAGAGAGAGCACAAGCAGGGGAAGCAGGAGGCAGAGGGAGAAGCAGGCTCCCTTCTGAGCAGGGAGACCAATGCTGGACTCCATCCCAGGATGCTTGGATCATGACCTGAGCTGAGGGCAGCCACTTAACCAACTGAGCCACCCAAGCATCCCACCTGCATCCATTTTTGTGGGAGGTTAGTGAAGACGAATGCTGTGAAGATGTCTTAGGGATGCCGCCGGGAGTTTTTGTGCCCCAGGAAGCTTCGTGTTTTCCAGGGTCACACGGCAGAAATGAGTCAGGAAGATCTGTCGTTAGCCTCTGACAAAGGGCTGTGAACTTTACACCCTGCGGGTCAGTTCTCCCTTCCTGTTCCTCTTGGACTCTGGGACATTTCTCTTTTATTTTCTTATTCCCTTTTCTTCACCCTCTATCACCCTCCTACTCTGAAACTTCCCAGGATGAAACCTTTGAGCTCTCCTATTCAGAATCTCCCACGTGGAAGATAGTGTCCCTCTTGCTTTTTCCTACCATGAGCCCTGTTTCCCAGCCTTCCTGGGCAGTATCCTGCACATTCATTTCTGCTCCAGCTCCTTTCCTACCTCCCTTTTCTCTCTTCTCCATTTCTCCCAGACGTACTCATTCTCACAAAGGTAATTCTCTATTTTTTAAAAAGATTTTATCTCTCTATTTATTGCTGGTGAGGAGGGGCTGAGGGAGATGGTGAGACTCTCAGGCAGACACCCTGTTGAGTGGGGACCTGACACCCGCTCCGTCTCACACTCCTGAGATCATGACCTGAGCCGAAACCAAGAGTTGGATGCTCAAGAGACTGAGCCACCCAGGCACTCTGATTCCCTCACTCTTCAACCCTATCACTTTAGGAACACGGGACACTGTGCCTCAGCACCCTTTTTCACAACTTGTCACGTTTTTCTTTAAAGTCATCCCTTGGGCATTCAGGTCCAGGACCCCAGGACCATGGCCTGAGCTGAAGGCAGAGGCTCAAACAACAGAACCACCCAGGTGCCGCTGAGATTCTCAGCATTGTAATGGTGGAGAACTTGTCATGATTTTCTGATGGTGCACCTAAGGCATGGCCATAAGAGTGACTCTTCAAGATTGGGTGGGTAAGAGACGATTGGAGGAGGATCAGCCAAAGAACTGAGAGAGCAGATAATAGAAGGTCATATACTGAGTACACTGAAACCACCAGGAATTGTGACAGGCTGTGAGAAGCTCTAGGAGGCGGGAACTAAAATATTCCAGAAACTAGGAGAGACCTTGGGGCTGGTGTTTGTCTGCAATAAGGAGTGATATTAGAGTGGTGTAGTCTACCTATCTTGATTTCAAACATTGTTCTTCCACTTTCTAGGCAGGCCTAGAAGTCTAGAAGTGGCTGAAGGGGTGACAGAAGCTCGGTGAGCAGGCTGTTGGGGAAACACAAAAGCTCAGGGCGCTTTTAGAAGAGACATGGGCTACTGCGCATCTCAGTGGTTTGGTGGGTAAGCATCAGGGCAGAAGGTGTCCAGGTGGTGAGTCCTTTATCTCTCCCGTCTTCCATATTTTTTCTTTGCCACCCTCGTATAATCTGCCTTTGCTGTTCTTTCCAAATTTAAAACGTTTTCTAGTGACAACAGTAGCCTGCTCTTTGCTCCTGGTTTTGCACTAGACGACTTTTTTTTTTAAATGTTAAAATTATGTTGGGAAAAGAATAATGTGCATTGGTTCCAGCACAAGGATAGACTGAGATCTAGTGTTTTCTCCTTCCTAAGATGTTTTTTGATGGATTAAAATTTGAATGACAAAGCCAGGAAATAGGAGTGCTCAGCAGAAGGAGACTACAAACATCTGGTAGAGAGGAGGTTCTGCATGGGGACCGCTGTTGGAGGCAATGGGAAGGGAGGAAGGGATGTGAGTGGAGAGGGCCAGACTGGGGCTGTTGTGACTAGCAGGAGACCCAGAGAGAGGGCTGAAGTCTGATGTGGGGTCTTGTCATTGTGGCAGTACTTCCTTATGTTGTAAGAACGAAGTCAGCCATATTGTCTTTAGCTTACAGGCTGTGGATGTTATGAGTCAAGTCTCTCCTAGAGCCGCTGCCTCTGAATGGGCGGGCACCCCATTAACTCAGGTGGAAAGGAGGTAAATAAGGGCCTTCGGCCCGTGCTGGTGCAGGCTAAGCAGTGCTTCCTGGCCATGTGGAGGGTGCTCTCAGTGGCCCTGCAGCTGATGGAGACTCTCTCCTGGGGAATGGCCAGGGACCTGGCAGCTTGGGAGAGTGTCATGTGCCTACTGGAAGCTGCCATCAGAGGCATACTGGGCTGATGCGGAGATGCTGTGATTCTAGTAGGGCCAGAGTGGGCCTCCCAAGCTGAGGCCAGGCCCTAAGCAAGCCTGTACGGTTGGTGGCATTCATTTCCTGTCCCCTCCCAATACCACTCTTCTCAGGAAGCACGAGGGTCTCCCCTGAGAGAACTCTTAACTTGGGGACATTCTCTCACCTGGACCATAAGAGCAGGAGCCTGAGGGTCTGGCACCATTAGGCTGCCTCTCATCCTCCCAAGGCTGCTCATACCTTCTCCATGGAAAAGACCCAGTGAGCAGCATCAGGCCTGTGGTGGAGGCAATAAGGGTGGGGGGTTGATGCAAATCCCCATGGAGGACAAATGCAGAGCTTGCAGAGTCCAGTGTCGTGGTGATACCTGGTGGTGCTGCCTGCCGGGCACTAGCCTGAGCACCCTGCCATTGCCTGGGCCTTTCCCTGACAGATGACAAACAACTAGAATGATCAGTTAGGCGATGGTAAGTCCCATATGGCTCAGTCTGCTCCTGTCTGGGAAAAGTCACTGGGAGCCACTTGGGAGGGCATTTTGTAGAAGATGAAGAATTAGTTCATGATAAAGTTGTTGAGGTGATAGAGGATGTGCTCTTGTCCTGGGAGCTGGGATTCACATGGGTTTGTCTTCTGGGCTTTGTCACGGTACCTGCACACAACACATCAATGCTAGAAGCAGGGTGAATGTGAAGTTGGGCACAGGGGGTTCTCCACTCTGAGCAGGAGTGACTGCTCTGCCTGGGAGGGCTTCAGGAAGACAGGACATTGGTTTCTAGGACTGAGCAGATAGAGCCCCATGCTTATCCACACTGAGGCAAGTTCCTTGATTAGTGTCTGTTCCCAGCCTTCACCAAGGTTCCATGCTCAGCCCTCTAACCCTGTCCAGGTCCTGAGGACATGTCAGGACTTCATTTGAAGGTATTTTACTCAGGGGGGCCAACTTCCTCTCCCCATCGGAACCAGGCCACCCTAGTTCACTCTTTTATAATCCCACAGCTTTCTCTTCATGACAATAATCACAACTTGAAATACATTACTGTGGTAATTCTAGTGATTAAAAGTGTTCCTGGGGGCACCTGGGTGGCTCAGTGGGTTAAGCCGCTGCCTTCGGCTCAGGTCATGATCTCAGGGTCCTGGGATCGAGTCCCGCATCGGGCTCTCTGCTTGGCGGGGAGCCTGCTTCCCTCTCTCTCTCTCTCTCTGCCTGCCTCTCCATCTACTTGTGATCTCTCTCTGTCAAATAAATAAATAAAAAATAAAATCTTTAAAAAAAAAAAAGTGTTCCTGAAATAACCTATATCCTTGAAGTAGGAAAGCCCAGGGCACACCCCCAAGTGGCATCTCAGACTAGGAGGCAAAGTTTGTTTGTCTTTTTTTTAATCTTTATTTATTTATTTATTTTCAGCATAACAGTATTCATTGTTTTTGAATGAGCACACACCCAGTGCTCCATGAAAACCGTGCCCTCTCTAATACCCACCACCTGGTTCCCCCAACCTCCCACCCCCCCACCTCTTCAAACCCTTCAGATTGTTTTTCAGAGTCCATAGTCTCTCATTGTTCACCTCCCCTTCCAATTTCCCCCAACTCCCTTCTCCTAACTCCCCATGTCCTCCATGCTATTTGTTGTGCTCCACAAATAAGTGAAACCATATGATAATTGACTCTCTCTGCTTGACTTATTTCACTCAGCATAATCTCTTTCAGTCCCTTCCATGTTGCTACAAAAGTTGGGTATTCATCCTTTCTGATGGAGGCATAATACTCCATAGTGTATATGGACCACATCTTCCTTACCCATTCGTCCGTTGAAGGGCATCTTGGTTCTTACCACAGTTTGGCAACCGTGGCCATTGCTGCTATAAACATTGGGGTACAGATGGCCCTTCTTTTCACTACATCTGTATCTTTGGGGTAAATACCCAGTAGTGCAATGGCAGGGTCATAGGGAAGTTCTATTTTTAATTTCTTGAGGAATCTCCACACTGTTCTCCAAAGAGGCTGCAAAGTTTTAAGAAACTGGTCCCCCAATCCCTTGGGCCATGCTTGAGCTACACATGGAAATTTCTTGCGACCTCAATTCCCACAGGGTGTTCTTAGAGCACATGGCTCTTTGGGCACAACCTGAACTTCTTCTGAGCTGATTTGCATGTTGTGTCATTAGACAAAACCCCAGGCTGCTCTCAACATCCTTAAAGGCAGCTATCAGGGCCCCCGAGGAGCAGCCTCTAGTCCAGCTCTCCAAGATGGGGTCTGTGGCTCCCCTGCTATGGATCATGCTGCTCTGGGCTTCAGGTGAGAGGGGGACACACAGAGAAATGGTGGGCAAACTCGATGCTTTCCGTGTCCCTGAGTTCTTGGTGGCTGGAATTCAAGCAATTGGTGTGGGGTTCCAGTTGCCCAGTTACATTTCATTTTCTGGTTCCTCAGAGTGTTGTCCATGACCCTAACTACAAGGTCATCAGTGCTTGGGCCTCCACTGAGATTCTCTCAGTACCTCTGTCAAATTTTGTGTTTCTCATTCCAGGCTGCACTGGAGACATTGTGCTGATTCAGTGTCCAGCCTCTTTGACCGTGTCGCCAGGGCAGAGGGCCATCATCTCCTGTAAGACCAGTCAGAAAGTTGGTGATATTTTGGGCATTACCCACTTTGTTATATAGTATCAACAAAAATCAGGACAGCGTCCGAGAATCCTCATTTATAAAGCATCCAGTTGAGTGTCTGGGGTCCCGGCCTGGTCCCTTCTCATCCAGAGGCTTGAAGAATCTGTTTCCAAGGTCATTTCAGGTCGTGGGAAGAATTCTTTTGTTTGTGACTATCTGACTAAGGGTCCTGACCTTTGGTGGCTGCAGGACGGAGGTCACCTCAATGTCCTAGAGGCCACTCAAAGTTCCTGACATGTGAGATCCTTACTAATCATAGCAGCAAGGGGAAATCCATCCTCAAGAGAGAGATCTTAGTTCCTCCCTTAAGGTCTTTGTCCTGATTTTAGTGAGGTCCACCCACATAATCTCCATTTTAATTAACTCAGAATCAACTGATTTGGGGTGGTAGTTACATCTGCCAAATCCCTTCCCCTCTGCAAGATTGCATGGGCTCAAAGGAAGTCACAGGCTCTGCCCACACTGAATGGGAGACCATGGAGTTGTCATGCTGCCATCCCCGCTCCCTCACCCCCCCTCCACCATGGTCTGTCTGCTACAACTGTTGAACTTACATAAGGCATTTTTGTTTGCTTATTTCCATTTCCTTTCTCAAAAGAGTCTCCAATGCTGAGGACATCAAATACAAAATCTCCCCAGGTAATGGATCATGAATAGCATCAGATCCACCCCTCAGGGCCATGTTTCCCTTCTAGCTTCTCATATTTCTCCTGTTGCTTCCCAACTGAAGAAATAGCCAATGTTTCTCTCAACTTTGTGTTAAATTTTTAATAAATTGTTAAAGAGATAATATTAGACATCTAATTTGAAAAATGCCTGAATTAGGAAAGAAGGAACCATCTCATATGAATGATCCAAGCTCCTACCCTAAGAACCTAGAAAATAAAGAGGAAACAAAATCCAAGCAGGTAGAATGAAGGAAATACAAAAATTAGAGTGGAAATCAATGGAAAATATATTCTAGCCCCTCAAAACTTAGGATCCTTTTAAAACCAGCATGGGGTAGAGACCTAAATGTATTGTCATGCTAATGAGCCAAGGGCTATGTATCATTCAGTTTCAGAGGGAAAGGTAAATGTTTTGGCTCAGTTTTCTAGGTGGGAGGGGGCAGGTTCTCTTCTGTAGAGTAAGCCAGTGCCTGTCATTCATGGAACATCCTTGCATATATCTAGGCTCCAGATCACACACTGAGGTTCTAGTTTCCCTATGCTTTGGGGGTTCAGAGGTCTTTACAGAGACCTTAATATATGGACAAGGGCTCAGTTCAGCAGCGTCCAGGGAAAGAGGAGGCGTACCTGTGGGGAATGGAATTTGCTGATGGAAATTATGTACAGCAAATTCTTACCACAGAGGAAATTCACCTCCCACACTGCCCCTTTCTTTGGTAATGGGGTTGAATTAAGCTGTCTGGACAGGTACGTGGAAGTGATGCCATTGTCCAGAGGTCCACACACCTCCCAAAAGCCCTGAAAACCTTCCCTCTCCTCTGCCTGCCTAGCTTCTACAGGTGGAAGGACCCCAGGGACTTCTAAGCCAGGACTCCCTCACCCACGAGCTGCTGATTTGCTTCTTCCTCTGCAACCACAAAACCCTTGGAATTGGATGTGGGTGGGAACTCAACTGTCTCACCCTCAGAGGCTCTGGAGACCTAAGGTGCAGCCCATTACTGTTGCCAGCAGGGGGCAACCACCTACCCACAGTGTTGGAAACAGCAACAAAAACTCCAGCTGTGGGCCCAGCTGTGCTCCCTCTGATACCCTGAAGGTCATGGTCTCTGCTTCTGAGTCTGGGAGACCTCACCATGGCTATCTGTGGTGCCTGGGCTTGGCTGACTGTAGAAGACGCTTGGATTTCAGAGGGAAGAGGAGGAGCAGGGTCTGGGTAATGGGTTGGTTCTCAAAGGGCTCCGTTTTGGCGGCAGCCTGGGTTGTGAAGGGAAAGGTGCAGGTGTGATGCCATTCCTCCAGAACATTACTCTTTTTTTGTTTTTGTTTGTTTAAGATTTTTATTTATTTACCTGCCAGAGAGAGAGCACAAGTAGGCAGAGGGGCAGGCAGAGGGAGAAGCAGGCTCCCCACTGAGCAGAGAGCCTGACATGGTGCTTGATCCTAGGACCCTGGGATCATGACCTGAGTTGAAAGTGGACACTTAGCTGACTGAACCACCCAGGTGCCTGCCCCCTACTTAGGCCATTCTTATAACAAAGTTACTTTCTGCACTGCCCCATAAGGCTTTCTTTGTTAATGGGATTGGATTAAAACTGTCTGGACAGGAACCCATAAATAATGCCCTGGACCAGATGTACACACACGTTACAAAAGCACTGAGAACCTTCCCTCTCCTATGCCCGCCTAATGTACACAAATGGAAAGACCACAGAGACTTATAAGCCAGGATCTCCTTACTCACACCCTGCTGATTTGTATCTTCCTCTGGAACAAATAATCCAAAAATTTATATGGAACCAGAAAGGACCCCTAATAGCCAAAGGAATGCTGTAAAAGAAAAGCAAAGCTGGCGGCATCACAATTCCAGACTTCAAGCTCTATTACAAAGCTGTCATCATCAAGACAGTATGGTACTGGCACAAAATCAGACACAGACCCATGGAACAGAATAGAGAAACCAGAAATGGACCCTCAACTCTATGGTCAAGTAATCATCGATAAAGCATGAAAGAATACCCAGTGGAAAAAATGAAAATCTCTTCATTGAAAGATGTTGGGAAAATTGGACAGCCACATACAGAAGAATGAAACTGGACCAGTTTCTTAGACTGCACACAAAAATAGACTCAAAACGGATGAAAGACCTTAGTGTGAGACAGAAATCCATCAAAATCCTAGAGGAGAACACAGGCAGCAACCTCTGTGACCTCGGCCACAGCAACTTCTTGCTGAATGTTTCTCCAAAGGCCAGGGAAACAAAGGCAAAAAATGAACTATTGGGACATGATTAGGATTAAAAATTAGGATTAAAAATCTTTTTGGTAGAAATAAAGTAGTGGTAGAAACAGAAAAAAAGGAACAATGACAAAACAGTGATAGCCTACATTGCACCATTATTGTGCTAGTCAATGTGGGACAACCAGCTCTCCAGAAAAATAAAAGTTCAGAAAGAAGATATACTTATTTATTTATTTATTTATTTATTTATTTATTTATTTACAGCATAAGGAATCAAGTCAATGGTATTGTAATAGTACTATATAGTAACAGATATGGCTATAGAATAATGTACAAACTTGTTGAATCACTATGTTGTACAGCTGAAATAGGATAGCTCTATGTGTTAATGATGCTAAAACAAAAAAGGAGGAAATATTTTAAATCCTTGATCCAAACATCTTCCATAGGAATCCAAATAAAAAGAAGTTCTTGTTTGGCGTCGGTGTTCCAGGAGGCTTCTGAATTCCCCTCCTCCCATGGATATGTGGAACCTACAGCTACACATGGGACATTCCCACTGTGAGACATCCAGAAACTAGCAGAGGGACTCCTACATATTGGGTTAAAGAGGTCATACCCACATTGAAACACGTGCACAAAGCTGGGACACATTCTTGCCATGAACTCCACTTCCAACAGAACCATATACCATTGGAAGGGATCTTGTAACTCCCGGCTTCTCCCTGAAGAGCAAAGGGTTTGGACCCAACTTCTAGTGCCCTAACTTACAAAACTTCCACCTGAGGATTGGCCCCAAAACACCTCGATCTGGAAGCCAGGGGGACGGTGCATGGAGACCCCCCAAGACAACAGTAAACAAAGAAACAGGGAGCAGACGGAACTGCCCACCTCCCAGTCTTAAGCTCAAAGAAGCCTATTTTCAGATCTTAAAGGCTGCTGCCTGACAGTTAGGCTTCCAATTCAGAACACATCTATGGACTGACTGCATTCCTCCCTGGAAATTGGGGAAGCCTGTGTTTGCACTCTGCATTCTCTGTCTGCCCAGCTCCAGGTCCCTGGTGTCTTCCTGGAAAGAGCTGGTGCACTTGTCTGGTGCCCCGGAACCCCCTGACCACCTGGTTTTGTTGGCCAGCAGGGCTGAAATTCTTGGACCCCAGGGCTAGAACAAATAGAGACAAATAAGTATTTGCAGAAATAATACTTGTGTGTTAGAACTGCAAAATAATACTGGCAATAAACTTGCAAATATTACCATAAGCTTGTGATAAACTTCCAGGCAGATGAACTTGCAAGAATAATATTTGTGTATTATAATTTAAAATAATACAATAAATATGTATAATAGATGATAAGACTTTATTGATCTGATATATTGAGTGAGTATAAGATTTTTCTGGATTGCTTTACTGCAATTTCACTTATTATGGCATCAAAATTTGTACTTTTAGCAAACTCAGTTTCCATATATAATTGCAAATAACACTGTCTTTTGTCAAATACAAGACCTGAAATATTTTTCGATAATTTTTAATTTTGAAAAGGTTTTTTTCTGATGTAAAAGAAAAATCCTGGAGTGGTTCGGAATATTTTATAGTCTACGATGACATTACAATGCCTTTCTGAATAATTATTTGAACTATAAATTTTAATATGTCTAGACATGATGAACCATTTCTAAAAAAACAACTTAGCTCTTCACACAAATTAGTTTTGTGTAAATCTGATTTAATATTAAATACAAATGTATACAATGATATCTTAATGTTTCTTCTGACATTTCTTGCAATATGTAGATATAAAACATGAAACTGAAAGTAGCTCCATAATTTGCATGCACTTCAAAACACCTGTTTATTACATTCCACCTCTATCCCTTCAATTATAACTAATCCTAAAATTGTCCTATTAAAGATTGTTCAGTATGAAACTTCATATAAAATAGTGCTCTTCATCAAATGTGACAATATTTAAATTTAACATTTACTTCTAGGACTGTGGCTATTTAGTTTACATTGCCGTAGCAATTTTGAAAACCGAGATCCTAAATTCCCTGAAGCATTCTCATAATTCTTTTTTGACATATCTGTATGCTATGCTCTACTCATTGCAAGTGTAGCTACCGTCTCTCTTCATACAACACTCTTGCAATATCATAGACTATATTCCCTTCCTTGTAACTTCCATCCCTGTGACCTACTCATTCCATAACTGGGAGCCAGTTCCTCCCAATCTCCTTCACACATTGTTCTCCTCCTACCTGTTCCCTTCTCCTCATGTAATCACCAGTTTAGTCTCTGTATTCACGGGTCTTTCTGCTTTTTTTGTTTGTTTGTTTTGCTTTCCGTTTTAGATTCTACATATAAATGAAATCATATGATGTTTGCCTTTCTCTGGACTTATTTCACCTCACATAATATCCTACTGGTCCATTCCTGTTGCCACAAATGGCTAGATTTCATTCTTCTTATGGCTGAGTAAAATTTCATTGTATATATGGACATCATCTTTACAGGATTAGGAGCTTCTATCTGCCATGGGTTTTCAAGTCTTTTTGGGAGCTTGAATAAAAAGGTTCACTAATCATTCTCAGACATATTTCCTGTGTGATTAGTGTGTATAGAATGTTATCTAGAGAATATAGCACAAAAACAGTTAGTGTAACTGGGAAAGAAGAAATTCAGAGAGTGGGAAAATAAGCAATAATAAATTCTGAAGGATATTAAATATTATCCTACTGAAAATATCACAGAATTTCTTAGCTCAGAAATGTATGGAATTGTGTTGCCACAAATATGCTTCATGTTTCTGACGCTTAGGCTGAGTAATTGTCCCTGACCCAGACACACATGCCAGGAGGGTCAGGGTGAGGTTCAGGGTGCCTTTCCCGGGCAGTTCACTGCTCTGCACTCAGGATGATCATCTCCATCTGGACCTTGTTGTGCCCTGCTGAGGCTTTTGGTGCCCAGAGGTCAGGACTCAGTCCAGAGCACTCAGCTGCATGTTACTCTCCTGAGTTCCCCAGCACCTACCTCTGACGCCAGCTCAGACCTTCTGCTGTGCCTGCTCCCTGCTCAGGCAACACATGTGCCCAGTGGGGACCGCCAAACCGAGAGGTTTATGTTTGGGCCTGAACCACTGTGGGAGGATCATGTGTAAATCACCCGCAGTAATAAACCCCCACATCGTCAGCCTCCACCCGCTGATTGTCAGGGTGAAATCTGTCCCTGACCCACTGCCACTGAACCTGTCTGGGACCGCAGTGAAATGTTTGGAAACCTCATAGATGAGGAGCTGTGGGGACTGGCCTGGCTTCTGCAGGTACCAGTGCCAATAGGTGTTTCCATTATGGTGTCTGAGGCTCTGACTGGCCCTGCAGGAGATGGAGGCTGGCTCTCCAGGGGTGACAGGCAGCAAGAGTGGGGTCTGTGTCATCACAACCTCCCCCCTGGATCCTAAATTAATGAGAGATAAGTACAGGTTGTGGAGAAACATTATAAGCCATTTTTATTATTTTAAATTTCAATTATATAGGCTAAATCATATTTTGTGATTGAATTCCTACTCTAAATATATCCAATTTCCATGGATAATCCAAGAATTGCAGGACAAAGAGTGGTCTCATTTCTTTCTTTCTTTTTTTTTTTTCTTCAGCATCTCACTAAAGCACTGTTCTTCATTCCCTTTAGTTTATTCATAGCTTTCACTATCTCAAAACTAAATTCACCTATAGGAGGGCAATCTCACCCCCAGACAGAACACACATAGGGACTAAAAACACCCAGACTGCTTACCATCCCCACCACAATCTCCTACCTCCTCCCCCCCAACCCCGCCTCTGCTTTTACCTGGGACCCAGAGCATCAGCAGCCCCAGGAGCTGAGAAGGGAACCTCATTTTGAGAAGCTGAACTGATGAGTCCTAGTAAGTAAACATGAGCTCAGAGCTGACCTTTATCTCAGACTTCTAAGAAAGGGTGCTCCCCAGGGGACAATATGCAAATCCCTTGGTGGGCGTGGCAGAGAGGAAAGCACCAAAGGCAGGGTG